CAAAAAACTACAATTCTCATAAGTTTTGCCTTAAATTACATACTTTCTCAAACTTTAGGAAAAAAGTTTAAAGAATGGAGCATATATGTTAATGTTTTATTCAATTTAAGCAATTTTTTTTACTAATTCATCAGTGATATTTTGAAATTGTTTCACTACAATATTGATAGAAATAATGCTTAAGCTACTCAGCATTTATCCTCAAAATAGCTATTGTAATTTGGCAGCTGCTATGATGCTGGTGATACTGTATTTCCAGGGTTATCTTGAAGAACTCTTACGACTTCGAGAGAACCAACTGTCTGAATCTGTCTCCCAGAATAAAATACTACTTCAAAGGATTGAAGATTCTGATCTGGCCCATAAATTGGAAAAGGAGCAATTAGAATATATCATTGTGGAACTTCAAGATCAACTGTAAGTGAGATCCTTTTAGAAAACTTTTGGCATTATATACACATAAGGGCAATGTGTTATGTCATAGGACTCAAGTTCTAGGAAATCTGTCTGCTACAAAATTCTTTTCACTTTTTAAAAAGTTTACTTTTAAATTTCTTACAAAAGTAATCCATGGTCTTCGTTGAAACATTGGGAAATATAAGGTGAAAAATAAAAATCACCATCAGTTGTGCTATCTACAGTTAAACTGGTATAAGTTCTTCCCAGTGCAAGTGTATAATTTTCTAAGTAGTTGAGTTAGTTATTAATTTACTGATTACAAAAGGTAGTGTATTATATCACTGCTACTTAGAATGCAATCACAGTACACAAATTGTTAACCAGTTTATGCCTGAATATCGCTATGTATAGTTTAGTGTGGCTTACTTTTTTGTAGAAAGACTTTTTTTGATGAAGAAAGGTATAGTATACTGAGCTACATTCTGGTACAAGTTCCTTAACTTGTTACCTTTCAAAGAATTTATACCAGTTGTTACCATTTTGTTATGTTAAAGTTGTTTTTAATTAATTGTTTATAGTAAAAACCTTCATACTAACTTATTTATTTAACCTAAGGTATGTTTTTAATTTTTAAATTTTGAAATAATTTCAAACTTCCAGAAAAGTTATGAGGATATATGTTGGTTTTTGACATTTCTCTAGATTCACCAATTTTATTTTTCCATACTGGGGATTGAACGCAGGGCTTCACATTTGCTGAGCAAGTGCTCTCGCACTGATCTACATCACAGCCCTTTTTAAAATTTTTATTTTGAGACAGTCGCCAAGTTCTCCATACTGACTTCAAAATTCTGGCCCTCCTCCCTCAGCCTACGGAGTGGCTGGAATTATAGGTATGTGTCACTGTGATGAGTTAGAGTCACCAGTTTTTAACATTTTGCCACATTTTGCTTTATAACTCTCTCCCTCTGCTCATATCTGCATATATATTTTAACCACTTGAGAGATTACATACATTGTAATTATTCATTATTTAATGTTTTAGTGCATCTTTCCTAAGAACAAAGATATTCCCTTTCATAACCCTTATTCAGTGGTCAATTGCCATCTTATCTTAAATCTATAGTTCATATTACAATTTCATTAATTGTTCAAATAACCTCCTTTACTGAAACTTCTGTTTTACTGGTACCAGAGCCAGTTGAGGCTCACTTTTTGCATTTGATTGTCTGTCTCTTCAGTCATAAACTTAAAACAGTTTTTTAGCCTTGTCTCACATGAGACTGATACTTCTAAAGAATGCAGGCTAGGAATTTTATGTTTATTTGCATTTTCCTTGATTAGAATGAGCTTGTCCATTTTTGGCTGGACTGCCACATAAGGGGTGTCACGTTCTAAAGGTGTCCTATAATTGGCCCTTTACTAGTTACATTAATTTTAATAATTTGGATGTTACTTTTCTGTAGTTACTGTTAAGCTTCCTTTTGTAAATAACATGTAATTTATGTGAGATACTTTCAGATAAAAAGATGCAAGTTTTTTTAATAAAAGTTTTACTAAGGACCAAAGTAATTCAATATTTTCTAGGAATTTGCATCTTGATGAAAAGAATTAGGCCCACATGCTGTTTCCTCTATGTGTTTGCTAACGTACATAGGGTTTGTCCTGTGGGGTATCAGCCCCTGGGGTCAGGTTAACAACCTCATATCCCACAGTTCAATGAAGCAGGGAGAAAAACATCAAGAGTCAGATAGTAAGGATTTCGGGTTTGTCCTTTTTAATTAAGAGATTATTATGCAAGTGATGCTGGTAAACTACTGCTTAAATGGTCTTAATCTAAAAATAATTGTAAAATTAGTTCTTATTTTATCAGAAGAGATGTTTTCACTAGGAGAATTGAATTTGAGTCAATCAAGTTTATTTTACTTTTGGTAATTTAAAGTAAACAAAGACTCAAATGTTTGAGAAAATAATTGTGGAAAAGTGTCATTAATCCTCTTGATTTCATGAAGAAAATGTTGTTTTTAAAACCTTTAAGAAAAATTAAAATAATATTAATAGAAAACAAAAATTATGCCCCTTGATCAGAATTAGAATATTTTCTTGAATTTTAATGTTAAAGATTTACTTTCATATAGTATGGCTACAGTCTCTAAATAGGTAAAAATTACTGTTTTTCAAAATTCCTTTTATAAAACCACTTTGTAGCATGTGGAACAGGAGAATAAGATAAATTCCTTTTGAATGTCCATAATTCACAAATTTTATCAAATTATCTTGAAGATGCGGAATAGTAGCTAAGAATGTAACTCAATAACAGAGGGCTTGCCCCATATGCCTGAGGCACTAAGAGGCCCCGCCCAGTATTCTTATAAATGAATAAGAGAGAGAGATGCAGAATAGTATGGGCAGTTTTGTAGATGTCGGAAGAGAATGAACATTTTTTACCTGTATGTTGCTGAATACTCTACCAGTAGTGAGAAGGCCTATAGTCAGAGCTGGGCACTAAAATTCCTTGTGTTCATCCTGAGAAGAAAAAAGTGACACTGAAAAGATTAGAGTTTAAAACATGTCAATGAACAGGTCAGAGAATGAATGTTACGAGTTGTAGTGTGACGCATGTATTGCGTTGTATTGTTTCACTATTTTTTCTAGGTCATTAAAACGTTTGTCACTCTATTCTTTTTTTTCTTAATGGCTTTATGTATTTTGTAGTAATACTATTCTTTGGTTATATCTTTGAATACTCATAAAGTCTGAACATTTTTAGTTCTGATAATGCAGTGCAAGCTGGGGTAGGGTATATGCAAGCATCCTGAAGTTTTGTGAATCAGGACTGTCTTCAGAGGAGCCCACCCATGAGCTCAGCCTTCATGTCTTGAAGCCTCTGCTTCGTCTGTGTAACAGACATAATGCTCACTTTGGGGATGGTTAAGAGTCAGATGGTATCAGGTATAATATAACTAGGGAAAGGTAGCATTCAGGCTGGGGCTGGGGGCGCACACCTGTAACCTCAGCACTCTGAGAGGCTGGGGAAGAGGACTGGAAGTTTGAGCCCAGCCTGTGCAACTTAGCAAGACCCTGTTAAAAAAAATAAAAGGAGTGGTGAGGTAGCTCAGCATGAAAGCCTGAGTTTAATCTCCAATCCACGACCAAAGGAGACAGCATTCAAAGAACGCTTATTCCTTTACTTTGGTTTTTAGAACCTTAAAATCTCCTTAATAAACTCACTAAGAAAACTAAGTAGAAAATTAAAAGTGATTTACCTTTTTGTTTCAGAAGGCTATAGATCACCCAGTAAGCTTGTGTTTGGTTGTATTATCCCTGAGTTTTAAGAAATTCCTCTTTGACTTTTCATTTCTGAATGGCATTCGGATTAATGTTTAAAATCATGGTATGTATTTGTGTAAACTGTGACTGAGTGAGACATGCATGTTTAATTACTGTGTAACAGGTTTCACTTGGAACTATCATTTTCTTGCTTATATGTTTGACAAAATATTAATTTGGAATACTTGGGGCTGGGGATTTAGCTCAGCGGCAAAAGCACCTGCCTGGCAAGCACAAGGTCGTGAGTTCGGTTCCCGGTACCGGAGAAAAACCAAAAACAAAAAACAAAAAACAAAAAATTTGGAATACTTTACAAGACATTAACTAACATAGGTACATTTGAATAAGTTTATGGTTGGTAGTTCTAAAATTTCAAACCATTTAAAATCTGCAGATGTGTTTAAGAATAATGTTATTTCATTTGGGAGATGTAAGATTATTCTAGGTGTGAGTGTCATAGATTTGATTTTATTTTGCCTCAATAACTATATTTTATGTTAAATTTTACTCAATAAAATAAATATAAACAAGCTTAAAGTATTAGTTATACTTTGGATCAATACATAGAAAGTTTGTCATAAGATTATGATATGTATTCCTTTATTATAATATTTGTGCTATATAATGGGAAAACATTATATTTTAATTTAACTTTATTCCATAAACATTTATGTACGTATATACTTTGTACTTGGAATCATACTAGTAGCTGAGAATACAGAGAAAAATTCAGCATGATTTTTTTTTCACAAGAGATATGTAACCTGGTAAGACAGAGGGACATCACCAATCACATTGTTATTTGAAGAGTGTCATACGTATGAGGAAGGCTTTGTGGGCACCCACAGACAGGTCATTAGAGAGGTGATTTGTGCAAACAATGCTTCGTGACACATATTTTGCAAACCTCAGAAATAGCCACAGAACACTGTGAAACCTGCACTTTTGTTATATTTAATACCAGTAAAATATGTGTAAGTTTTTCTAGTTAGCTGATGATTTCTTTTTTTGTTAATGGTTTGAAAGGTTATATCAACAGTAACATGTCCTATAGAGTTCCGTATGAAGGGAACTGAGGAATCTAAATAAAATTAAAGACTCATTCACTGAAAAAAAACTAGGTCTCTTGCAGTTCGAGAACCAGTTTGGTAGGGCCTGAGGACGCGGCTCAGCGCTAGAGTGCTTCCCTATTGCGCATAAAGCCATGTTTATATCCCCAGGGGCTTGTGGTAAGTAGTGATGGTGGGTTCTGTGGGCCTGCAAACCACAAGTCTGAGGTACTCTGCCTGCCTGGTTCACAAATATAAGCTGAATGATTTTGGTACTAATATGATAGGGCGGCAATGTCATCATGCCCCATTTAAAAATGGCCAAATAATGACAGAGCCTAGTCATCTGGTTATCTATATTTGGCAGGTAACAATTATTGTTAAAACTTTAAATTACAACAATGTTACTATATATTACGTAGTCTATTGTCTATATAAAGACAGAAGCATTAAGAAAATGCAGTTAGAAGTTAAAAATACGAGGTACCACATAAGTAAAACCATATTCTATTGTACTTTTCTGGGTATTAATGGAAAATTAGATAGAATAGTAAGATAGGAAAAGGTACTAACTTGATAGGGTGGGCATTTCATTGCCTTTAGTTATATTCCATGAAAACTGCAGATTCTCCTACAAAG